CGCGTGTAAGCAGTGTTTGCTTACCCTCCCGCACTGTCCGGGGCTAAAGAGCATTCCCGTGTCTTCCTCGTTCTCATGGTCTGCATGGAAGCGTCCACTGAGAATGGAATTCCCCTCTCCGTTGAGCAGGGGAACCAGGGACCAAAGGCAATTTATTTGAAGAGGAGGAAGGTAACTAGGACAGAGATTGTAAAAGGAATTCGTAATTGGAAAGTGTACGTTACCATACTTGTTCTCTTGGTCTTAGCTGTCCTGCGCTTTGCGAAAAAGTATTTTTGCCCTCATACCGTGCATTCCACACAAACAGCTGTCTTCCTGTACTTTTGTTGTGGTAAGGGAACGTGTCTGCTGGTGATTTTCCTCCCAAGCAGCTGATGTAATTCCAGGAGAGGAAAGCTGTGGATAACTTTGCCCTTTTATCTCCTGCAGTCTCTGAGTTGTTGTAAGAGGCAGAAAAGTGTTAACAGAAGTACATTAAAGTAACTTCATTTTGCTGTGAGTGTGGTATCTCCATTAATATTGAATGAAAACTGTCTTAGTTTACTGTTTTTCAAACCTAGGTCCATGGTCTTTGTTCCTATGGATCTAGGGGGTACTGTAGCAGGGGAGGGAAGAAAGATGTCTGATAATTAACTAGAAAAAGCAAACCTATTGCCAGTCATGAATTTGCTATGCAGAAATGTGGTCTTCCTCTGGAATATGTATAGGACATTTGCAAATAGAATTTTTGAGAAACAAAACAAAACACTGCTTTGGCTTCTGGAGCATTTAAGTTATTCACACTAAGTTTCTATAAAATTTGGCCAGAGTACTACCAGTTCCACTTCTGTGTCCATTGCATTGCGTTTGTGGGGTATCCATTCTCTATTTAACTGTGACTGTAATTGGCTTCCTAATGTAGCTTTGTTTACAGTTGAGTATTACAGGGAAGATGCCTAGATGTTAGCTCAATAATTTTTTATCATTCTGGTTCATACCATTTATTTAACTTTTATGATAGTAGTCCTGAATCATAAAGCAAGAACACTTGCACTTTCAAATATTTTTTCTTGTTCTTACTGCCTGCTTGCAGACATGCCTAAGAATCTGGGGAACAGAGTGGGGTGGAGAGCTTGGAAACCTACCATTAACATGCTTTTCTGTAATAATGGGTCAAGGTAGATAGTGAAGTGTGGACAAGTTGTGCTTCTTTTTGCTTATTTCCGAAGTCTACCTCTCATCCTTCCCCCCTGTATTTTGCTCAAAACAGTCACTACCCTCATGAGCCACTATGAACAGATACAGAACCAGCCAAGATGTAGGAAGGGACAATTTAAAAAAAAATTACAGACCTTTACATCTAGACAGAATTAAAGTGCAATTACATGAGGTAAACATAATTTAAATGCTCTGTTTTTCTCGATTGGTGACTAAATTAAAGACAGATATAAGAAAAAAAAGACAATAAAATGATTCTCATCTGTTGACACATCCATGTGTTTTAGCTGAAGATTCCCTCATCATTTGTTCACAATAATAAACAGAAATCACAACAGGCCTTTGTGTTATCTTTGGCCTCTGAGTTATAAAATCTATTTTGAAACTAGGAACTAATTTTTCATTTCAGTTAAATTATCAGTATGTCTTTTTTTCTGGTTATTGGGCCTTCTGTAGCATGTTTAATGGTTTAAGTTTTTTCTGCAGTTAAGGCATCAGTATCATTTAATCTTATGTTGTTTTACAGAATTAAATTATTAAATATTTCTTCCAAACTTGTTTGAAGAGGTGGAGCCTTTTTTATTCATCTGTTGTTTATATAGAGCAGATCAGAGGTCTGTCATGATTAAACACTGACTCTTGTCCGGTTTTGTGCTTGTGCTATAAAAACAAATAATAAGAGTTAAGGATTACTTGTGTAGAAGTCAGATCTATGAGCAAGATAGTGCTCGCATGAATAATAAAACCAGCTTAGATTTGTCTTTTTAATTTCTCTGGGAAAACAAGGTCAGTCTGTGAGAGCAGATAGATCAGACTCTCTCAGGAATTAGTTTTAACGCTAGCTGCTTAAGTTATTTAGCCTTCCTGTAAAGGGAGTTCCTTCAGTACTTTGAAGGTGCACCTTTAGAGATTGGCATCATAGAGTAAGCAAAAAGCAGGCTACATGGAGTAGTTTTATGTCACTGTTCCAGTCCTTGCAGTTTTCTTCCTGAAATAGATATACAGGTCTTTAAAATAATTGTGTTTTGATCTCTGTATTTCTCTGCGCTTTTGGCAATACATGCCAACACTAGTTGCATTATTTTAAGTAATACACACCATTGATTTGAAGTGCAGAAGTTCTGATTGGTCAGAATTGAAAAGGTGAGGCCCTAATAATGTTTTAAGCCAGTAATTAAAGATCAAGAGTTTTTTTCTGTAGCTGAGGTTGAATTTTGCTATTTATTAATGGTTTAATAGGAAGAAGGCAGGAGGGAGATAGAACTGTTAAACTTGATCGTTATCAGTTGGTTTTATAATATTTTCAACCCTCACAGGAAGAAAAAAAAACAACATTAAAATGCCAAGAGGCATAAGTATAGAAGCTTTTAATTAGAAATCTTGTGATCAAAATGCATGTTTGTCCTAGTGATGGTACTTAATAGGTTGGGGGGAAGCTGGTTTTTTGTACAGTACATGGAACAAACTTTTGTCAGTAAGTGGTAAACTTGAAAATTATGTTAAGGAGTTTGGAATTGGATTTAAAGACAGGGAGATTTTTATCTACCCCAGTTTCTCTGAGAACAACTCTTGAAGAATTTATTGAGACAGAAAGGTGTGCATACACACACATTTACATGCAGGGAGCATGTTTTTGCTGTAACTCAAATCTGCTTTACTGGTGGAGTATTTCCTAGTTGCAGTCCATTTTGCACCATATTGGGCACTGCAAGTTCAATTGTGTACTTGTCATTTTGTGAAGAATAACAAGCTCACTAAGAATTGAGGAAAGTAAAAAAAGTAAAGGGCTGTCAAACTGCATACTTGCCATAGTTGGAAGTATGCGTGTTTTTCTACCTTTAAGTATAGGTGTAGGAATTGAATTGTTAACATGACTTTCAAATTACACTGGAAAACATTGAGGGGGGGACAACTTGTTTTTCGTTTATGATTGTTAGTTCTTTTGGGGGGAGATCTGGAGAAAATAATCTGTAGCTGTTAAAAAAAATTCAAACTACAAACATTCTTAGGGTATTAGGAAATACTGTATTAAAGGTTTTCTTACAATGTAACAGGTGTAATTTTATTTCTGTGGCACTTCTGAAATTTTTTTCCCTCATGCACAGGTCTTACAGATAGCTCTTCTGTAGGATTTTTGTATCAAAGATTTTGTATAGCTGTGTTTACTTAGCAAAGCTGTTATTTAGGAGATCTACTGATCATTTGGTTACATTTGTACAAAACAGGGTGAGCAGTCCTATTAAATACAGGTGATAGGCTGTTTTTTTTTTTTAACTGAGTAAATTGGTTGGGGGCTATAGAACTGAAGGATTTTTTTTCTTTTATAATAAAACTAACATTTTAATATGAATGTTTGGAGTTCATAACATTAACTGTTGCTCTGATTTTAGGTAAACATTACCAAATGAGGAGAAAAGGAAGATGTCATCGCGTATCGGCACCAAGGCATTCTTCTTCCCCATGCAATATTAAGCACTCCCCCACACGAGAAACCTTGACGTACGCTCAAGCTCAAAGAATGGTTGAAATAGAAATTGAAGGTCGCCTGCATAGGATCAGTATCTTTGATCCTTTAGAGATTATACTAGAAGATGATCTTACAGCCCAGGAAATGAGTGAATGCAACAGCAATAAAGAAAATAGTGAAAGACCACCAGTTTGTCTGAGAAGCAAACGGCATAAAAATAACAAAGTGAAAAAGAAAAATGAGGCTCTTCCGAGCTC